CCCCCCAGAAAAAAACAAACAAACACGAAACATAAAAAGAAACACACACACACACCTGACTAATCTGCCTCCCATAATCCAGTGTACCCCTTAATAGATTTTATACATTTGCATCTAATACGACGTGCTTCGCTTCATATTTTTCACAGTGGCCCTGTCGGATCTGACACCCCTGTCTTTGGGTGTCTCTTTCGAGTCCGCACTTTGCTTCACAACCTCCTTATCTCCTGGCTCGAGAGAGTCCTGCTTCACAACCTCCTTATCTCCTGGCTCGAGAGAGTCCTTCTTCTCATCCTTCTCTGCCACATCACTCTGCATCACCTCTTGGTCTGCTTTTCTTCGAGGTCGAAGGTCAACCTCCCCGGCCTTGAGGGCAGCCACGATTCTTTCCTCTCTGTCCTGATCCTTTGTGCCGGAGCCACTGGGGATGCGTGCAGTTGTTGGCGTGCAGTTGTTCAACGACCTTGCATCGTTTGACGCTGAGAGCCACGAAGGGGCCGTTTTCCTCACGATGTGCTTTAACTTGTTCTTGATGCGCACAAAGTGTCGTTTGAACTCGATACCATCTCCCTGAATAATAAAAGACAGACATTTTCAGTGAAAAAGATTTGTTGTAGTTAAAGAAAATCACACCTCTCATTTTCAAAAATTTTAAAAACAAAATTTGTTTAAAAGTTAAAGCAAATGATGGATGTTTGTGGGATTTTCTAGTACATGGGAGCCTGATCTAACAGCCACCTGTTTCTAAAACGATAGTTAAAGGAATTGATGGATGTTTGTAGGTATTTCTTGTAGATCCAAACCTCATCTAACAGTCACCTGTTCAAGACAATCATGACCACTTCCCACCTTGCATTTTATCTTTATTCTAATAACACTGTCTAAGAGGAACAACTCTCTAAGATGACAGGGCTCCTCCCTCTTTTTTTTTTTTTTGGTAAGTGTTTTACAGCGCTCGCAACTGCATAAGGTCATATGAGCGCACGGGACACACCAGACATTTTCAGTTGGTAGGAAATTTCGGGTGGCGGCCGAAGCCTACTACTTTTATCGATTTTAGACCACCAAGGGACCTCCGAGATTTTTCGCCCTTGTCCGAGAAGGCAAGGGGTTGATCTTTTCTACCAAAAGATCAGGGGTGTGGCTGAAAGACAGCAGTAAGAAAGAGCAAAGGAGTGGAAGTAGAAAGACTGCAGAAAAAGTCAGGAGCTCAGAGGAGGGGGCAAAGGAGGTGACAGGGTGGGGGGCATCAATTGGAGACGAAAGCAGACGACAGAACATTGTTGCAGAGCAGGATAGGCAGTGAAAGGAGACAATTTTAGAGAAGAAAATGTTTCCGTCGCTACCCGGATTCGAACCCGGGACCTTTGAATGAGAGGCAAACACCTTAACCTCTAGGCCACAAGAGCCCCCCTCCTCCCTCTTGGACAGTGTTGAAATACAGAAAAAAAAACCCAGAAAGGAGGTATATGGTTGTCATTTGTACAGGTGATTGTCCTGAACTGGTGGCTACTGTTGGTAAAATATACAAGCTGAGTTATAGGGAAATTCAGAAGAAGCTGAAAAATTGGAGAACAAAATTGGCTGTATACCACAATCCTGGTATATCTTTACTAGTGGTGGGCGGTACCGGCGAAATCCAGTGTCGGTACTTTCTCGACACCAGGTGCCGAGAACCGCCAGTACCGGCTCCGGCACTGAGAGTGACACCAGTAGGTGACGTCACAGACTTTGAGTTTTGCGAGAAACGCCACGATCAGCGCCGCCCGCACCCCCCCCACACACACGCCAGTCAGAATTGGAGAGGCGAACTGTGACGCAAAATACCTTTGAAGTTTGCCGCTGCGTGGGATTAAACTTTGCAAGCAGAATTTTAAAAATAGTTATCGCCGCTAAAAATTGATTTCATTTTCGGAATCAGCGTATCAAAATAAGCAAAGTGGCTCACGAGGAACCTGATTTGAAGCCTTATTTTAAATTTAAGCAAACTTCGTTTTTAATTGTCAATTTTGAATCTGAAGTCCTGTATCAAGGTCACCCGCTGCGTTGTGTGCATCTGACGCCCCAGCTGCTGCTAGACCTAGGCGTACACACTGCACACTTCCTGTGGCCCGGTAAGAAAAAAAACCCATCGCGTCGGCTCCTTCTCAGAGCCGGTATTAACCGTTGGTGTCGGCTCCTTCCGAGAGCCGGTACTGGAGGCCAGGCGTCGGTACTGACACCTCCTTCGGTAGAGCCGGGAGTTCCGGTATTGGGTACCGTTACCTGCCCATCCCTAATCTTTACATGTACTAAGAGTTTAAAAATTCTCGTACTAAGAGTTAAAGACAAATACAATTCTCGTCACACCTTCGAGAGTCGGAAATCAACCAGCAAGTTTCCTCCGAGGTCAATGAGTCCAATTTTGAAGATAAGTTTATGCACTGAGAACACAGTCAGCTGTTGAGATAAGAAACATGATTTAATAAAGATGGAAATGAACTAATTAAATTACGTCAAGGCCATTTGCGGTGGAAATTTCCCATTTGTACCCAGTTGACCATGCATTTTGTTCCTTCCATTTTTGACACCTACATCAAATTCCCTCAAAGTTCCAACAACCTGTTTCAATCAATCATGTTTAGAAGTCACACAAAAATGGGTTACTAAAAAAATGATTTGCAATTTTGGGTCATGTTTTTAAATATTTTCTTCAAAAATTGATTTTTCCAACTTTAAATTACATCTTCTCCTTTACTTTTCATCTGAATGGCTTCATTATTTTACACAATGTACATCCGAAGGTAACCTTTACTCAAAGAGAGCCCTTTTTGAAGATAATAAGAAAATAAAATTACAATCAGTGTTTTTGTTGGAAATTTTGAGGTTTTTTGTTATTTGTCCATTGTACATATTTCCAGAGTTAATAATTATTTTTATTATCCTAATATTACAAATCTGGCGTTATTTGTTCATTAACTCATTCGCTACGTATTATTTTCGTGGACGAATTTTTTTCGGGAGGGCGAATGAGATAATGACTACTGGGCAGTTTAAAGGTCTTTGGGGCCACAAATTCAAATAAATATCAACGTATTATATACCAATATTTTCAGTATGGTTTGTAGAATACATCTGTAATGTTTGCTTATGTATTTTTCAACTTTGGTTCCTGTAAGAGGCGATTATGCAACACAATTTTGATTGGATGCGGATAACATTTGAAAATAAAAAATTAATAATCTTTGGTGAAACTCAAAAAATATGTTTGCACCTAGTCAAATGATACATCAAAATATCCAAATATGAATACAGAACTGGAAAATATTGAAAAGTTTGCAGTTATTTACATACATTCCATAATATTTGTACATTTGGATCATAACATCCGATATTGAAAAAAAATTAATTTTTGTTAGAATCTTGAAAAACGATCACAAAGAGAAAAAAAACTCACTCGTATCTTATATGGAATTATTCAGAATTGCATTTGGAATAAACCTATACATGTCTTGAGGCGTGGCACTTTTTGTGTAATTTCATCAAAAAGTAGTGATTTTGGGGAGAAAAAAATATTTTGACAATTTAGATCTAGACCTAGATCTGGCACTCAAGAATATTGATTTCTCAATTACAGTGCATTGGCAATATGAGTCCAATCGTATCAATATCATAAAAAAGAGTCCTACACTTCTTTAGTGGGCAAAATAATGATAGATTTTGTTGTGTAAAATTACAAAAACTGGTGTCCAGGCTATAATTTTGGCATCGCGATAAAACAAAGTCGAATAAACTACGAAATCGCGTTTCAAAACTGAATCTAAACTTCCGATTTTCAGTGGAAATGCTTGACCCGGAAGTCAACATTATATTATGACCTTTATTTTAACATGGATATGTGGATTGGACTAGAATCTAAGCTAAAATAGAAGATCGGTTCTCGATCCGCCGGGAGCGGCTTAGCGTACTGACGGCACTTTTGCTGCGCCGCCCCCCACAGCTCAGCGTAGCGAATGAGTTAAATATGTGGAGTACTACGTACTTGCTAAAAATGAAAGCCAACAGACGAAAACTGAGAGAAGATAGCTTTTAAAATCTGCTGAAACTATCCAATATGGCGGATGTTTGCTTGGTTACCATGTGCTTATAATAAATAATTGCTTGAATTTATTCTTTGATGTCTGACTAATACAAATATATCATCGTTGCTATATTTGGTCAAGGGATATGGATTTTAGAAATTTCAGTAGCAGATGGCCTTAATTAACACCTTAATTGTGCCGTAGGTGGCCTAGTGGTTAGGCTCTTGGACTCGCAACCGTAAGGTCGTGGGTTCGAATACCGTCAGGGGCTCGACGTTGTGTCCTTAGGAAAGGCACTTTGCACAAATTTTCCTCACTTCACCCAGGTGGAAATGGGTACCCGGCTATAGACAGTGAAAGATCTTGTCAGTTTGATAGTGTTTGAGCGCATGAAATCCGCAGCTTGCACTGTATGCTTCCGCGGAAGCCGAGAATGTTTCTGAGTGTTCTCAGAGGGTCTGCTGGGGTAATAAAAGTTGTAAAACGCATAGAGCAAGCTCATGAGCATGGATATGCGCTATATAAATGCAATTATTATTATTAAATCATTAAACCTTTGAGCCCTAGCCATCAGTACACAAGTGGCACGTAAAATTGCCCATATGCCTACCCACCAGTACCGGTGAGCGAGACCCTATCCGCAAGCCGGCCCGCCTAGGACAAAACATGCTTGGAAAACTGTTTACTACACAGGATGTTATTGATTATTTTGAAAATCTTTCTGAATGAGATGCTGGTTATGACCAAAAGATAGTACATAACAAGAAGGGCCACTCAGCCAAAAAAGTGTCCGCCGGAAGCTTGCTCTCTGCTTCAGATGGCGCTGCAGTCTGTTTTGAAGCTCTCTTTCGTTTTTCCAGAAGAATAGGAATAGCACCTCCTTGCGTGCGCAGATCGACTGCTGTACATCAGCAGTTCGGGTTCGTTCAGTGTTGAGTTTTAGGTTTTTAAAAATTTTAATGACCTCTCGCCTTTCATTCTAAGTCAAATTAAACGAAGAAAACAATCACCCTTTCCTCCGGAAGAGGTTTTTTGTCAGCGTAACCATTTAAAAAAAGCGTTCTTCCAAAATTTATTCAAAAACTTGCTAGTTTCACTTTGATTTTTTAAACTCAAGTAGGGTAACTCTGTTTGCAAAGGGTGCGCATTTGCGAAGAGGGAGCCACCGAATTTTGAGGACACTTTTTTAATTGGCTCAAAGAGAGAAGTGGCCCCTCTTGTTATGTAGACTCTTTGTTATGACCAGGACTACCCACAGAGTGATGTGGAAAGTGATTCTGATGATTAAATTTATTATGATGAGCAATATTGGAAAGAATTGCTCAGGAGTTCAGGCACAGGGGCACAGTAGCCTCAGGATGTCAGCGCTCAAAGGGTTACATGAATGATATCAAAAAATGACAATGACAGTCTTTATTCATCTCACAGGGAGCAATTTGTCTCATTCATTTCATGTGGCAATGGTGTTACGTAGTTCACACGCACTCATGCAACTAAAAAGGGCATAAATATATGTTTTACGTGCTGAAACCCCTCCTCTAAAAAAATCCCCCCCCCCCCGGTCTAATTAATATCACAGTGTGATCAACAACCTAACTGCAACTGATATCAATAAATTTAATTTTGTTTTAGTTAGAGTCATATGGCACATACAACACAGCAGGTCATAAAAGTGCTGAAGATTAGAGGTGTTACAAGAAAGTAACACACACAAAAAAGAAAGAGGAGAGATAAGGATGATAGATGTTTGACAAGAAAGAACGAGCAAACTACACTAGAGCGTCTGCCAACCGCCTGCAATAAATTTGTGACCTCAAAGGAAATTCAAACCCAAAATAAAACAAGTTACAATAGAAAATGATGGCATTTTTATACCATTGGTCTCAAATATGACAACTTATGGCATAGACACATAGACTACCTTTCACACAGAAGCCCTCAAATATATGTCACGACAAGGCGAAAGTTTTTGGGCATAAGGAGTTATTGGTATCATCTTAACTCATTGCACCTGAGCTAAGAGTAAATTCGTATCCGCTACGCGCTTCCGTCCACCGAGCTACGACAATAGTCCACACAGAGATGGACGTAAAAGGTGTTGAGCTAAAAATTTGTTTAGATAAAATTGCCCAAAGTGCAAAAAAAATGTCTGCATTTTTTAATTTCATTATTTTGACGAGCGCCTGGTTAGACCACGATGCCACACATACGGCAACTTACTACAGACTTGTGTATTTTTCTTTGTATGGCAGCCCTTGCATGTCGCCACCTCAGAGCTACAAAGTTTGATCTGACATTTTTGGCCGTTTTGAGTTACTAAGACCATGAGGTCAGACACACATGTTCTATCTGCTCTAACAAAATTGTAAGATTATTCTGAGCCGTTCAAGATATTCCAAGAATTGCATTTGAAAAAGCTTGACATACATATTGTGAAATTCAAAATCGTTGACGTCAAATTTCACAAACTAGGTACTGAGCAGATAGAACTTAGTAATTTTGAGACAGGGATACGTTAAATGATCATAAACACTGAAGGTTCCTTTGTGCAAAACATCTGACATGAAACAACTTACCACAGATGCGTGATTTTTCTTGATACGGTAGCCTTCTTTTTGAAGCACTCGCACCAGCTCTGCAACTGTCTCCGCTTTGGTATTTATTACAAAAAACCTCGTCATTCTTTTGACCAGTTTCTGGAACGGCGTCTGCGAAAAAAAAGAACATATAAAATAAACTTGTACAGATAAAGGAAAAAGGATGAAATAATCTCTTTTATAATGCGGAAGTAAAGATGAAATTATGACATCACTGAAAAGGTAAAGCCCATAAACAGCAAAACAAACATAATAATAATAATAATATAACAATGATGATGATAATGATAATATAGCAGTCTCCGCCTAAGATCCCACCGCTTATGATCGCGGTTCGCTCAAGACCCCACTGTTTTAACTCTTATCCTGCGTCTGTGCCCAGATGCGTATCTTATCAGCAACCGATTACGTCGGACTCGCCGGGCAGGCCGCCGGGGTCACTCAGTGTGTACTGTTGGTGTACAGCGCGCGCGCCGGGAAACGTGTGTTTTCGCCATGAATACCGCGGGAGTGTGTTAACTGATGATGAAAATAACGCTCTATCCTTCATAGCATTCTATTTATAAAGTGTTACAAACACATGAATAACCCCCTCTCACAAGCTGATAAGACATTACGAGTAGTTACGCCCATTTGAATAACCTTTCTGGACGCTCTTGTTGTTATGAATGACCTGAGGTTCGAAAAGGGATAATTTAGGTCAATTTCCGAATGTTTACACTCAAATTGTTCTTTGTACCTGCACAAGGGTATTCAAAACTATTAAACAAGCTCATCTTTTATCAGGTAGTATCATTTCATATAAAATCAAGCTCATTTGAAATATTTTGTATAGAAAAATGGAAGTCTTGTTTCCTGACTATCCTTTCGAGCTCCTCATGTCTAAGTGGGTCAATTTCTTCTATAATTTCATTGGACGAACATCTAGAGCTATCAACTTGGCATGTTTTGAATGAGACGTATGCCTCGATTACGAACCAACGCAGGTGGTTCTAGAAGAAGGCCACAAACGCACACAAACTCAAGCAGACTGACGCACACACACTTGACCTGCGTGAATGGGGATCCGACTCGGGACCCGAATGACACGTAAGAGGATGCGCGTGCGCTGAGCCAGGAGCTACACTGACTCGGGACCAGAACGCAGGCGAGGTGCCGAAATAGACTTATCGGGCTACATAAACCCGGCTCCCGCAGGATGAGGGTTAAGAAAACAGAATTTTTACTATACAAAAGTCACCCCTAAGACCCCACTGTTTTAAGAAAACAGAATTTTTACTATACAAAAGTCACCCCTAAGACCCCACTGTTTTAAGAAAACAGAATTTTTACTATACAAAAGTCACCCCTAAGACCCCACTGTTTTAAATAAACAGAATTTTTACTATACAAAAGTCACCCCTAAGACCCCAGTTTTAAGAAAACAGAATTTTTACTATACAAAAGTCACCCCTAAGACCCCACTGTTTTAAGAAAACAGAATTTTTACTATACAAAAGTCACCCCTAAGACCCCACTGTTTTAAGAAAACAGAATTTTTACTATACAAAAGTCACCCCTAAGATCCCGCTCTGATTCACTCTGAACGTCTACATTCGGCTTAGATCCTGCACTTCTGATCAAAATTCAGGGAATATAACCCAGGCGGTACAGCCGATCAACCGAGAGGGAAAAGCTGAGATCAATAAACTGCCCGTCGCGTCAAAGATCAGCCACTCTCGTGAATGTGATCACATAAGCGTTAACGCAAAACTCGATGAAACGGTACAATGTTTGCCCCAGAAGGGGTCACACCGATGTGTGAACTGACCGACGTGTTCGTTTTCCCCAAACATCACACTCGCATCTGAGCTCTCCACCTAAACTAACATCACCTCGTTCTAGGCGGGATCACATTGAACTGTGAACTCTTCCCTGATCATTGCAGCAGTTTTCTCTATTCTCAAATTTTCCAAAAAGACTAACTTTTAATTGGTGTGGTCACAACGTAATGGTGCACAACGTCAAAGATGGGGGAACTCGGTCAGAGATGAAAAGCTTTAAATTTTCGACAGGTAAAGGGGAGGGTTGATGTTTTTGTAGCTGCTTTTGTTTTATGGGAAAGGGCTGCTAACCCTTTGCCCAACCGACCTTAGTCGCCTTGTACGACATGCGCGGTACGGATACAGTGGTCCTATTCTTTGCTCTCCTGTCTCTTGGACAGGGCCCCGAGAACCACACGGGTGGTAAATATGTGCAACAAATGGGCTCATGATAGGAGGGACTGTTTTCCCACATAAACAGATACACAAATCAACATGGGTGTCGCCAGACCAACAAACTGAAAACCAGATTGACCACATATGTGTCAACAAGAAATTCAGGAGATCAATGAGGGGTGTTAGAGTTTACAGGGAAGCAGACGTAGCTTCGGACTAACATTTGCTCATTTCAACCATCCGACTAAAACTAAAGCGAAGACAGGGAATTGTCAATAATCATAGGTACCGGTACAACGTGGAATTTCTGAGAGAGCCATCATCAAGAGAGGAGTTTAATGTAGCAGTTAAGAACAGGTTCCAAGTGTTGGAAACACTAGGCGAGGATAGCAGCGTGGAAGAAACATGGGAGGCAATAAAAGAAGGCTCGACCACGGTGTGTCAAGAGGTACTGGGGAAACGGAAACGTGAGCACAAGCCTTGGATATCGGTCACTACTTTGAGGAAGATAGAAGAAAGGAAAAAGAAAAAGGATCAGGTAAACAGGAGCAAGACAAGAGCAGCCAAAGCAAAGGCCCAAGAAGAATACACCAAAGCAATGAAGGAGGTAAAAGTCAGCCTACGGAAAGACAAAAGAAACTATGTAGATGACCTAGCGCGCGAGGCAGAGGAAGCACCAGGGGCAGGAACCATGAGAGGACTGTATGAAACCACCAAGAAACTTGCAGGCAGATACAAGAACACAGATGTGCCAGTAAAGGATAAAGAGGGAAAGCTTCTCACAAATCCAGACGAACAGAAAGAACGCTGGAAGGAGCATTTCAAAGAGCTGCTGAACAGACCAAGGCCAGAAAAACAGTTTGACATTCCACCAGCAGAGATTGATCTCGGGGTAAGTGAAGAAAAGCCTAGCTTAGAGGAGATCAAGGAGGCGATAAGACACCAGAAAGAAGGCAAGGCAGCCGGCCCAGATGGAATTCCCCCAGAAGTTCTCAAGGTGGATATCGACACTGCGACAGGGATTCTCCATGGAATTATTGGCAAGATATGGGACAGCGAAGAATTTCCACAGGATTGGAGAGAGGGATTGCTCGTGAAACTACCCAAGAAAGGAGACCTGCATGAGTGTAAAAACTACAGAGGAATCATGCTCCTTTCCATTCCGGGGAAGATTTTAAGTCGTACCATACTGGAAAGACTGAATGAAGCCGTGGATGCAAAACTAAGAGAGGAGCAGGCAGGATTTCGTAAAAAGAGATCATGTACAGATCAGATTGCAACTTTGAGGATAATAGTGGAGCAGTCCACAGAGTGGAACTCTTCCCTGTACGTTAACTTTGTTGACTACGAGAAAGCTTTTGACAGCCTAGATAGGGACTCAATATGGAAGCTCATGCGCCACTACGGAATACCTGACAAGTTCGTGAGATTGATCAAGAAGATGTATGAGGGAATGAGTTGCAGTGTCTTACTTGGAGGGCAACGAACAGACTCGTTTGAAGTGAATACAGGAGTGAGACAGGGATGCCTGCTATCGCCTTTTCTCTTTTTATTAGCAGTGGATTGGATAATGAAACAGACAACATCGGGACAACGCAGTGGCATACAGTGGACCCTTTCCAGTCAGCTGGAAGACTTTGACTTTGCCGACGACTTGGCACTTCTTTCTCACAGTCGAGCCCAGATGCAACAGAAAACAGATCGCCTCAGGACCTTCTCCCGTAGTGTTGGACTCCATATTCACACGGATAAAACGAAAGTTCTACAAATGAATGCAGCCGACGTTCCTATCACACTGCAAGGGGCACCATTGGCGGATGTTGAATCCTTCACCTACCTGGGAAGTGTCATCAACAAGGCAGGGGGAAAAGACGAAGACATCAAGGTCAGAATCCAAAAGGCAAGAGCAGCATTCATCATTCTCAGGAATATATGGATGTCTAAGGAACTGGGATTGAACACCAAACTGAGGATCTTCAAAACAAATGTGAAGACTGTTCTACTGTATGGTTCAGAGACATGGAGGCTCACAGCATCAGCAGCAAGGAAACTGCAGAGCTTCGTAAATGGATGCCTACGAAGGATAGTGGGAATCAAGTGGTACGATCGAGTCACGAATGCTCAACTGTGGGAGAGAACAAGCCAAAGGCCAGTAAAGGAAGATATTCAGGTGAAGAAATGGAAATGGATTGGACACACCCTGAGGAGACCCCCAACAAGCATCATCAGGCAGGCTTTAACATGGAACCCACAAGAAAAGCGTAAGAAGGGAAGACCTAAGATGACATGGAGGCGAGCGGTATCAGCGGAAATTGAAAAAGCGGGGACATCATGGAAACAGATAGAAAAGGATGCTCAGGACAGGCTTCGCTGGAGTAATGTTGTTGATGGCCTGTGCTCCATTGGGAGTTAAAAAGGGCAAGAGAGAGAGAAAGGGGAGGGGCAACTGGATAAGCATAGATCTTGAAGCTTACGATTGGATAATAAGTGAAAATGGCACGCCTCATGACACTATGAACTGAGATAGGTCATCAAGTTTTACCACACCCAGGGGTCAAGTCAGTTCATTTTAGAGTGGAGGGAGACCATTTCACCGATCGTGAGCCTTAACATGGGTCACCATAGATTCTTCCCTTGGTTCGTCTGGTAAGATCCCGGTTCGCCCAAAACCCCGCAATTTCCATGCTCCCGAACACCGGGATCTTAGGTGGAGACTACAGTAATAATAATAATAATAAGAAGAAGAAGAAGAAGAAGAAGAAGAAGAAGAAGAAGAAGAAGAAGAAGAAGCTGAACCAAACAGCAGATGGTTGGAGATTTGAATCCCAGATGTGGTATCAGTCCTGATGACTTATAAGATACATTATCAGCAAAATCATCATCTCTGAGTACTTGAACAAAATTATACCGAAAAAAAACACGGGGTTGTTTATCCCACCAGAAAACCCCATCGAACAAACTGCAAGAAACACATGCCTGTGAGGTTCCTGGGGTGCACTGCATCTGAGAGTTCAGAAACAGGTTGTCAATGTGAGTGGGCTGGGAAAAGCTGAAGGAACGAGATTCCTCTGACATAGGGGACATCGAGTTCTCATTGCTGGTTCTCTCAGGCTGAGACGATGAAACGACCCTGAAAATTTATTTTTAAAAAGAAATTTTTTTAAAAGCAACATTAACATTGGTATAATTTTGTTGAATCAACAAGAAAAGGACGAAAGTATGGAGAATCGTAGGGAACATCTGCATCATTTCTTTGAAGTTTTAACCCATAAAGTGCACCTTTGCAAATTGGTCCATTAATTTTTGCTTAAAAAAACAACCCAAGGTTCACTTATGCCCACAAGGCAAAGGGATCAAAGATACAGTTATATGGATGTAAGATCAGATCAGGCCATAAGTTTGTTATTCATTATTTTTTAAATTTATTACAGTAGAGGGTTTTACGGCGCTCGCAACTGCATAAGGTCATATGAGTGCCAAGGGGTGGGTGTCAACAGAGAAGTCATTACAGGGAATCAGACTTAGACTGCTCACCTCTCTAGCTTCAACAGCACAAGGTCTGCTTCGACTATCAAGGCACCCCAAAATAGCAGGTCGCCAGAGAGTGACAAACATACAAAAGAAGTAGAGGAAGGAAAATGACAATAGTAAGGATCAGGAAAGAGACTGTTGTAGATCAGGCACTGTTATGAGCGTGACATGAGTCAGCCCATTTACACTTCTACTATGCTTGAACGAGAAATGACCCCCCTTTGGGAACGGCCTAAAGACACTTCAGTCATTTGCACTGCCCCAGGGGGTTTAATTTAGTTAACTTACTAAATAAAAATAATAATAATATAAATAAATTGCATTATAACAGTGCATTTCCACTGGGAAAGAGCCCCTTGTGCTTAAGTATCATCTCATAGACGGACAGACAATATTTCAAACACACAATAGAACACACATACCCTGAAGGAGAGGACAAGTGACCTCTGTCCTCACCACTCCGAGACATCATTCGTCTCTTCACTGCCGGCATTGTCGGGGAGGTAGGGGATGACAGGGCATTCTCTTCATCTGTTAGGAAGTTTTTAAAGTTTTTGTAGAGGTTTTACAACGCTCGCAACTGCTTAAGGTCATAAAAGCGCCAAGGGGTGGATGTCAACAGAGAAGCAGACTTACTCTGCTCACCTCTCTAGCTTTAACGGCACAAAGTCTGCTTCAACTATTAAGGCACCCCGGAAATAGCAGGTCACAAGAGTGTGACAAACATACAAAAGAAGTAGAGGAAAATGACGATAGTAAGGATTAGGAAAGAAAAAGCAGCAGTTCCCTGTTGTAGTACAGGCATAGTTATGAGCATGACGTTGGATCAGCCCATTAACAATTCTACTGTGCATTAGAACGAGAAATGTCCCCCCTTTTGGAATGGCCTAAAGACACTTCAGTCAGTGGCACCGCCCCGAGGGGTCTGCTTGGAAGAAATTGTTTTAAATATATATATAATCAGCACAACTACCTATCCCCTTAACAAATACAGGAGGAGAGACTAGGCCAAGGCAAGATCGACTCTGGGATCGATTCTTTAGAGTCCAAATGAGGACTCAAAGAATCGATTTTATTCACAGACTCAAAGCTTCGAGTCCGCCCATGGTCGATGCCTCCCATCTCCTTTTTTTTAGCCTCGTTCCTTGCCTAGATTCCGAGAATCGAGGCAAGAATCTAAATCTCTACCACACTACAGTCCTGTAGTGTCTTGGGATAGGCCTAGGGCTGCCCCACCCCACAGTCAAGTTTTCGCTTCAAAACAGACACCGTACCAGGACAGGACTGATCCGGCGCATAAGGCGGTTTCTTTGATGTTGGCCTAGGTGGAGTTAAAAATGCATCCCAAAAATTTCTTAAATATTGGCCAAATTTAAGAAATAATAAGATTTTCGTGATCAGCGACCAAAAATCAAATAGAAGTACGCGGGGAACGCAATTTAATGCCCGATTACCAAGTTAAATTAATTTTTGTGAGTTTTGTTTACTATGTGTTTTTTTTTCACTATTTGAATTTGGCGTGCACTTGGCCTAGATACATGTAGATTCAAGGTGGATGAATCGAGGTTGCATGTGCCTGTGCTCTGTGGCTTCGTATTAGACAGAAGAGAAAGAGAAAACAGTATTAGGTCATCCTGTCCCACCCTGGTGTTGTAGCAATTCACAACTGCTCGGGACTCAAAGCAACTATTATGCAAGAAATTGCCAGTCAGTCACTATCAATTGTCTCCCGCAACCCCCCACCCCACCCAACCTTCCTCTTCTCCGCTATGAGCGGATGCTAAACAAAGCCTAGGCCTACTTGTCGTGCCTACTGTGTAGCCCAGTATGAAACCACGCTGCACATAGGCTACTGCTACTTTGAATCTTGTTGCCCCACCCACGCCCGCCCATCTCAAATTAAATCATTCACTTGCTTCTTCTCTTTCTTTTGTTTAGACCGCTTGCTTTTGAATTTCACTGCACTTTCATTTTCACAGTACATGCATTCTTTTGTAAATCATATTGTGTGTTTTGAGTTAATATCAATGAGTCATCTTGTCTGGACGTCGATCTTTAGCTTAGGACTTTTTTTATAAGCAGGATAACACAGTACTGTTATTTGTATGATCTGTAAAAATGTTTTGACATACAATAACACAACGTTGATAATAACAAAACAATTGTCATCAAAGCATGCTTTGACATATCAAGAAGCAAAGGATGCAAGAGAGAAGGAGCCTGTGCCCCACGCATTGACAAGAGTGATAGAATGGAAGCAACCCTACAAGCCTACCTACAACACACACACACAAACACACACCCACACACAAACGACACACACACACGCTTTGCCAGCCATGTCTGTCAAACTCGAGAATCGAGGCCTCGAGTTCAAAAGAGATTTTTAGCAGTGTTCAAGTCATGGCCTCTAAACAGCCAGGCCCACTTGAAGCAGCTTCCAAACTCGAAAATCGGACTCGATTCCTCGATTCTTTTTCAGTTTTGGAATCAAGGCCTCGAGTCTTTTTGCCGTTGATCTTGCCCTGGCCTAGTAGAGACTTTGTTAAACACAAAGTCGTGTAACACGAAATAGAGAGAGAGAGATGGTATAGGCTTAACGCCCTTATCATTACTATTAGGTTATTTAAGAGGCGGGATCTCTGAGTTTTAATGTCCGTCTCTGAAAGGACCGAGCCAAATGGGAATTTCATGTGAAGTGCCTTTACTAAGGACACAACATCAGACCGAGCTGAGGCTCAAACCACCAACCCGCAATCCCACGATGACGTGGTAGGTAGCCTAACCACTAGGATACCGGCCCCACGAAATACAGTACAGACTGTTTAACACAAAATTCTTGTCACCACGAAAGAAATTTCAAATCCTGTCTGTTTCCTCTCTTTATTCTATGAATTGCGACTTCCCTAACCACTAATTCTGCTTAACACGATGAAATTTTCAAGTCCTGTGAAGTTCCTGTTATCAGGGTTTTATTGAATTTAAACATCTCCCGCTTCAAACACTAATTTTTTTCTTTCAAATCTTTGATAATCAAAAGTGACGGTATAAATCTTCACAAAATGCGCAGCAGTCCGCCAAAGTGCTTCTTAACTTACAACACAGCTAATCTCTAAAGAGCACTGGCCCTGGCTATAAAGCTGCACTTGGTATATTATGTATATGTTTTGACACACTGAATCAATACTGCGTCACAGCAACATTAGAGCAGGGCAGAAAGCCACTCAGTCACTTCTACGTTTGATCCATGTCAGTTTTGTGTCAGGCTTTAAATGAGCTGATTTTCATATCTAATGTAGCCGTTATCTCATATTCCATCTAAATTCTAAAAAATATGATGAACATTTTGCTTGGATGTAGACCCTATTCAGTACAATAAGAGCCTCTTGGAAACTGTTTGTTTGTTTTAGTAGAGGTTTCACGGCGCTCGCAACTGCATAAGATTATATGAGCGCCAGAAAATTAGAGATGTTACAAGAGAGCAACAAACATAAAAAAGAACAAGGGGAGATAAGGACGATAGATGTTCGATAGGATAGGAAATAGTTTTAATGTAAAATTTTCAGCAAGCCCCCACTAAATCTCTGAAACATTAAAACAAACCTCAGTAGAGAATAAGTCAGTACAGTCCGTGCCGGCTTTAAGCACGCCGGCATAAAGCACATTTCGGACTCAAGCACGCTTAACCGCTCTTACCGAATTTTTGTTATATAAATTACACGCCTTTAAGCACAGTAACTTCGGCTTCAGGCACACTTCATTTACAAGACAGTCAATACTTTCATGATGACCCATCGAAGTTCGAACACAGTTTACACCGCAGCAGTGGAGTGTGTTAAGAGAAACAGAAAGTGAAAGAACGCAAGTGATGGGAGACACACGCGTGGAGAAGAAGGCAGAGAGATGCACACAGCCGCGCACGGGGACATAAGATCTAGCCTTAGGCAAAACTACACACAGACAAAAAAAATACAAAGAGAGTCAGGGAGACGAGAAAGGGAGGCTGGCTGCGATCTCACCTTTGACACTTGCCATCCGTTAATCCTGGTTGTGTATTACGCGCGAGGTGGGATGAAGGCGGTGGTATGAATGTGGCAGAGCGGGCAGTAGTAGTAATGGTACGCACAGGCAGTGTGTAGGCCTAGTGTGCTATATCGTGACTGGCCGTGTAAATTAAGTTTTCATTTCCGATTCGACCACAAAACAAAAACAAACAAGCAAACAAAAACTACCATGGCGGGTAAAAATAACAGTGCACACTTTTGCGGGACTACTATAGGCCTACTTACAAACAAAGGGAAATAGCACAGGAAATTTTCCACATGAAAATCTCTGGATTATGTCTACTTTGCACTCAAGCACGCTTCGGCATTAAGCACGCTTAAGCTTTCTCCCGATGACCGTGCTTAAAGCTGGCGTGGACTGTATCCTTCTCCAGTGGGACAGGATTCCTTCAAAACCCATCCACTCTCCTGAATAAGGTCTTCATATTGAGAATGCAAAGATGAGCAACTTCAGCTGCCAAACCACAAGTTATACGGTTGCAACTTCACCCGCCAAACCACAAGTTAAAAGGCTGCAACTTCTCCCACCAAACCACAAGTAATACAGTTGCAACTTCACCCGCCAAACCACAAGTTGTACGGTTGCAACTTGAGCCTCCAAACCACAAGCTACGTCGACACCACAAAAATGACAGGAACAAATGAGTCAAACCTGCATGCAGAGGGAAAGATTTGTTGTAGAACTGGTGCGTCTTGATCTGCTTGATGGTATACCTCCTCTGGGGGTTCTCTCCTAGCACAGATCGGCACAGGGCTGGAGAGGGAGGAGAGTAAAAATATGAGGATTAAAATGGTCAAATCGAATCTGAAAATTCCGTTAGAACTGGGAAGTAGTTTTTAGCTTTAGTAAGAGTTTTACGGCACTCATAACACATTTATACCAAAAAGTGCCGAAGATTAGAGATGTTACAAGAGAGTACCAAACTTTTCTTTTTTAAACTTTGGCTTAATTTTTATCTCCCCTCTGAGCTCTAACATTAGGCATTTTGTCATTTCACAACACCGAGTGCATTTGACATTGGACATAGTAAAAAAAAAGGGTTAAACATCATTACACCATATAAAGCACAGCTTTTCCAAAATCATGTAGAAAGAAGACAATCTCTGTCTCTCACCTCCAAAATCAACACTCAAGCCCCGGTTACACGCAACGATAAATTGTACAAAGACTGGACAATCTATCTATCATGAGACAAACCGTCAGGTGTAACAACAAAATTGTACAAAGTTCGGACGACTGGACGATGGTTGGAGACTCGGTCGAGTAATCAAATATTTTCCCTGCGATCACCTTCAGATTTGGGGGAGATGCACTGTGTCATAGAATCACTTTGAAATTTGCCACCGTGCAGGATTAAACTTAGGGCTCAACATTTTTTAAAATTATCGCAAGTAAAAATTGATTTCATATTCGGAATCAGCGTCTCAAAATAAGCAAAGTTGCTCAGAGAGAACCTGATTTGATGTGTTATTATGTATATTTTGGCAATTTTATTATTTAATTTATCAGCAATGTTGAAGTTGTGCATCAAGGTCACCCGGTGCGTTGCACATCTGCAGTCAAGTCAATGACCAGGAGTCTCCCTGATCGAAAGAAAACTGGAAGATATATTGGAACGTCTAAATAGACTACACAGCTCGATAAAACGGACAGTTCTCGCATACGACAAATCTGACACAATTTATCGTTACGTGTAACCGGGCCATAAAGGTATGACAAAAATTTAAAGAGACGAAAACCTGTATTCGGCTTACACAGAGCAAGGGTGTCAATTTTGTTCCATGGATTTGTTGTGATTTGACATTCCTTCCAGTTGCGGTACAACGTATTCCGAGGGGTCGGCTCATCCCACGGCAGTTCTGCACAACAAAAAAACAAACAAACAAAGCCAAAAAAGTTTTAAAGAGCTTATAATATAATTATGGTAACGTTTTATACCCACTCCATTTCCCCAAGTATTTTGCTGATTTCACAGGCTTGAATTTTTTTAAAGGGCAAGAGGAAATTAAAGATAAAAGCATTAAGAAAATGAAATACAGACAGCTTCCCGGTTAACCGTATGAGAATGAAAACAATTATTTAGAAAACACCATTGGAATCGCACACAACAATTTGGTATACTCAATGTCTCCTCAATATGGAAATTTCTTGAAGTAAAGCACTCTTAATATGTATGTACAAGGCCGAGTTCAAGTGGAGATTCCGCTAAAAACACAACATTTATTTGCAGCTCACACCCCCCATCCCTCCCCAAACAGAGCCTTTGACATATCTCTAGTCAAATACAACCTCTGACTTACCTGTCCCATCCCCACCCCCCACCCCCTTTCCCTCCCAGCACAAACACAACCTTTAACCCCAATCAAACACAACCTAGAACGCCCAGCCAGACACTAGTGGTTAGGCTATCGGACTCGCAACCATAAGGTCGTGGGTTCGAATCCCGTCAGGGGCCCGATGTTGTGTCCTTGGAAAGGCACTTTACACGAATTTTCCTCACTTCACCCAGGTGGGAATGGGTACCCGGCTATAGACAGCGAAAGATCTTGTCAGTTTGTAAGTGTTTGAGCGCTTAATCGGCTGCTTGCACTGTATGCTTCCCAGGAAGCTGAGAATGTTTCGGAGTGTTCTATGGTCTGCTGAGGTAATAATATAGTGTAAAGCGCATAGAGCCTGCTGATGAGCGGGGATATGCGCTATACAAATGCTATCTATTATTATTATTATTTACAATCCTTTTACTTACCCCAAGCCAAACAACCTTTTTCCCACGTCCCAACACACATGACCTTCTACAGACCTGCCACTCTATGAAATCTAAAAATCAGGATTTTAGAGTAAAAAAATCAGGATCTGGTGAAAAAAATCGGGATCAACGGCAAATCAGTCATAGGGGGTACTGGGGAAGGGGGGGGAGCCCTTGGTTCCCATGAGGCAAGTATGCAAGAGAAAACTTTTGCAGGAATAAGTTCACGTTTGGGCCTCTAAATAGAGAGAAAACTGAAAGACAGCATATGTACTCGAGTCGCAGGATGCAGTAAAGCTGAAACTCTCGTAGTTTTGAAAATAGCTGACACATAACTCTAATCACTCATGCAAAAAGCCCGCGTTTTCGTACAGTAACGTCTGACTTCCATCGCATATCCACTCAAGGCACCCCCCGAAAAAAAGATCGTGCCAAGGCTGTTCATTTATTTTCTTTTTTCTTATTCCTTTATCCTCAATTAGTACATGTATCACGGCACGCTCAGCCAAAGTGTCAAAAAAATACCCCCACCCCCTCCCTCTGATCGTCCACACTGTTTAAGTCCCGAAAAACACCTCGACCAATGCGACCGGTGTGAACGAACTTTGTTGACCCCGACAGCCGACGGTCCCCGACACACGCGCTACTCACACATGCGAGGTCATGTCACGTGATGCCAATAAGCGTTTGAAAGTTCCACTGACAGGTCTTGATGATAGGCCCGACTAACCAGAACTCAGACGAAGTTTGCTTATAAAGCAACGGCAAAACAACGAATAGATTACTCTTAAAAGCCCATGTCAAAATTGTTACAGTAATCAGGACACCATCGGAGAATCCTGCGTTATAAAAGCGAAAGTAGATCTTGAGCGTATCCATGTCGGAATTCAAAATCGATAATACGTCGATTTTAGTTAAAATAACGAGCGTAAGTCATCTACTAGATTCGGCATAGATGCTTTAGAAAGTAGCGTTCCAAGTTCCTGCCGATAAAAAATCTTACCGGTGCTTCCAAACAAAAGAGATTGCAGAACTTTTTATATATTTTTCTAAGAATCGGACGCAACAGACACAACGACAAAAAATCAGGATACTGGCTTTCGAAATCGGGAAAATCGGGATGCTTGAGATTTGGGGAAAAAAATCGGGATATCCCGATTAAATCGGGATGAGTGGCAGGTCTGCCTTCTACTTATCCCCAGCCAAAACACAACCTTTTACCCCTCCCAACACACATGACCTTCTACCTCCCTCCCAACAAACATGACCTTCAACTTACTCCCATCCAAACACAACCTTCGACTTACCCCCAGCCAAGAGAGCGACCAGAATGATTCCGCAGGACCAAATGTCTGCCGGTTCAGCCTTGTACGGGCGCCCGCGCAGAACCTCTGGAGCCGTGTAAGGCTTTGTCCCACACATCCTGTTCAGTTCTCGCTCTTGACCCTGATGCCGGAATATCGTGGCCATTCCGAAATCCGTTATTTGTAGCACATCTGAGGAAGACACAATGTGTAAGGCTTCAAGGCTTTCCAACCACGCTGGCTTTGTCCTATCGGTAGATTGACATTTAGTTTGGAGGTCCCGCATTTCAAAATGACCTAAGAGTGTATAGTTGGGCATGTTGTTGTTGTTTTCAAATCCCTTTATTTAGCTGCGAGCATTTCGCTCTTGGCAGCGCAATGCCTCCCTTAAGTAACAACATGCCCTTGTCATCTGGTCAACGCCAGTATAGTTCGGCATAAAATCCATGCAATTCCATGCAAGCTTCAGGGAATAGACCTGTAAGTGAGTGCCCCTTAGAAAAATCGCTTGAAAATCTGGGGGAGCGTAGCTGCGCCACAGGCGCAAGGATTAACTAGGGGGGTTCCGGGGGCATGCTCCCCAGGAATCAAAACGGTCATCTGAAAGCATTTTCAGCTTGGAAAAGTAAAATATCAGACCCAAAAAATGTTTTTGTAATCTATTAAAAAAAGAATAGTAAACCAACTAAGTATCACTTACACTTATGCTGCTCAGATATTGAGAACCACTGGCATCAGGATTGTGTGACTCGGTGCCAGGATTTTAGAGCTTTTCCCTTTTACTTTTAGATAAAGTGTCGGGAGCTGGGGCTTATTGACACCTGAGATCATGCCAGGCTGCATCATGATTCATCATGGTTGTCTGAATGTAGGCCTAATCTGAAAGAAAGTCTCCACTGCCATCTCTTTCTTCTAAGCCATGTCAACTTGAATTCATTTTTCACACTGGCCTCAATGCTACTCAGATCATCACGCTGAGAAATAGCGTGCTCAGGCATCTTTTCAAGACAAAGAACCTAGATGTCTAGATGTACCACCAAATCTACACATTTGTACTTGTCACCCCATTAATCTCAATTAGTCAATTAGTTATAATGAGACACACAAATAGTTTTAATCAAAAACATTTTCGGAAGGATATACTCTGAAAGAGCACCTACAAGGATCGTTCCTCACACAAAACAGCACTTTACTACTGACATGATGACCGGGCACACCTCGTACACCTTTGTTTCTATTTGGGGAATGCAAATGGCAGCCGGAAATGCGTCATCTTTTTCTTAGTTTGCATTTCCCTTCCTCTATATCTTCCAAAATAGAAAATTTCGCATGGAAATTTTTGCTGGCCGCGGCGAAAATATTTTAGTTGGAGTCAGTGGAGCTACTCATCAGAGATATCGGTACATGATCTCAAATCTCACAGGCATACAGGGCACCCTACAAGACAACATAACGGAATGGGCAGGTTTAAAGTTAGGTGAAGCCCTTCGAAAGGCTGAAAATAGAGAAGTATGGAGAAAAGACTAAGGGATAAGTAAGCTAGCTCTCAAATCAAAATAAGAAACAGACCACTGTGTTGTGTATCTTTTTTTGGTTATAGTTTTTGTGTTTTTATTTCCCTATCAACACACTTTAGATCATTTAGGAGGTGGGCTTTGATCCTGCCTTTCACAGTCAACCAGGGCTAAATGAATACATTCCAAAATGAAGGCACGATATACTCCACAAAAAAATTCTACCAATTCAGGAATCAAACTCAGGTCTCATGTGTGCGACGGCCAAGTGCATAACCACTACACCACAGATGCCAGTTCCAATGTTGTGATACTTAATCATGTCTTCAAGAGTAAGAAAAATAAAAACGTACCATTTTCATCAAACAGCAAGTTCTCTGGTTTCAAATCTCTGTGACATACCCCTCGGCTATGAAGATACTCCTGGTTTAAGAAAAAAAATTTTTTTTAATACATTACAATTTGTGATATATTATCTCATAGTTATAAAGATTTGTTTTTAACCAAAACATTTAATTAACAGAACAAAACTATAAAAAAAAGCGAAAACAGTCTCAGTTTTACAGTAAAGGAAGAACACTGTGTAATTGCCATCTATTATTCTATTCACTATTCCTTTTCATTCTCTCAATTCCTTTCACGAGAGGTTCAGTTGTAGAAGTTAAAACGACCCCATCGATCCTTTTCAGATAATTTAAGGAGCAGGCTTCGACCTTGGTTGCCTGTCTGGGTCAACCAAAGCTGAAAGGAATAATCCCGGCAGAAAGACAAATAGACAGACCTGTCACACTATGAAATCTAAAAATCAGGACCTCAGGGAGAAAAAATCGGGATTTGGTGAGAAAAATCGGGATCAATGACAAATCACCAAGGTGACTGTCAAGCTGACTTAAATTTTTTCCTCGGGTGTACATAGTTACAACCATGTATATACATGCAGAACATGCCCTCGGTGTGTGTGTGTGTGTGTGTGTGTGTGTGTGTGTGTGTGTGTGTGTGTGTGTGTGTGTGTGTGTGTGTTTTGCTAGACAGAGAGAGAGAAAATAATATTACCGTTTCTCCGGATGTTTGTTTTTAACCCAGCCAGCATGAAAATGGCGGCCCAAAATCCATTCGCTGTGGGACAAGATTAAAGCCCGCTCTCGGCCCGCTTTTACCGCTGCAGGCAGCTTGAACTCATACATATTGCTGCTCCTAATTCATATCGGCCCTACGTCGAGCACGGCGTCACAAGTAATGTCGGACACGCCGTCGCGAGTAATGTCGGCCCCAGGGCGGCGGTCGACCTATCCATTATATTATGGTCGCTTTTTTAAGGACAAGCGGGCTAAACCCAGATATCGGGGGTTTCCAGAAATATTGACTTACCCTAAAAGTGGGCATTGCCTTACTTATAGGAGAAGCTTGGTTTCATTGGTGCATAAATTTGTTTGGTTATAGAGAAAACTCTCCTTCTAGATTATTTAAAAGAAACTGAACACGGGGCAAAAACTTTACCTTCGATTTTCTCAAAACATAATTTTTGGGGATAGTCCCTTTGTGCTTTAACTTAAAACCGACGATGGCGATCCTATATTCTGTTTCATATCGGCCCTACGTCGAGCACGGCGTCACAAGTAATGTCGGCCCCAGGGCGGCGACCGACCTATCCATGCCCCATCA